GCGGTGCACCCTCTGCTGCAGACCAGCCTCCTTCTCCAGCGGCTTGGCCCAGGGATGCTCTGCACAGCCCAGGGTCCCGTCAGCAGGGCAGAGCTGTGTCTCCAGTTTCGGCTGCCGCAGCCTCTCTCCCCAAAACCTGTCCCATGATGGTGCCTCTGTGCCTTCCCCTGCGTTACACTCACCCTGATGCCACCTTTGAAGGCACCAAAGGTGCTACAACACACAGAGAGGCAGCTTGAAGTCTCTGCGGTGGCACACAGCTTCTGCTTGGACCTGGCCACGTCCTCCACAGCCTGGTTGTCCCCACACGGGGCCACAGGCACCTGCTTTGAGCCAGTTTTCCTCTCCCAGGACCTTCCCCTGCCTGGGCTGCTCTGTGGGGTGAGAGCCCAGCCTCTCTCCTCCTGCCTCGGAGCCCTGGCCCCTGGAAACAGCTGCAAGGAAATAGCTGAAGGTATTGAAAGACGAGGCAGGAAACGCTCCGAATTTTTTTTTTCTAAATATAATGACACTAATGCTGTTTGCAGTGTTAAAAATAGCAGTGGAGGGAACCTGCCTTTTTCCTGTTTGCTTTCAGCTCTTGCTTTCCTGCCTGTCTCTGCGTTCTGGGGATCTGCATGAAAATAAATCCAACAAAAAAGATCTCAGCAGCGTGCAAAGCAAAGCCAGATGGATTTGGCCTTGGCTCCAGCTTCCCCCAGCGGGGCCGTGAACCCCTGTGCAGCACGGGGGTCTTGAGGCTGCGAGCTCCCCGCCTCGGGCAGTTGTCCCCCAGCTCCGTGCTGTGGTGGGACCGTGTGCTGACCCTGCTGCTGGGGACCTGGTCACTCTGCTGGGTGTCTCTGGGAGCCGTGTCCTGGCTCTGGTCGCTCTCCTGACTTTCCCAAGAGCCTCAGTGCAGCGAGTTGGCTCTGACCAGCACTGCTGCTCTTCCTCCCACGGCTGCAGAGCCATGCTCGCGCCCGGGGCTGGGTCTGAAGGTGTGTGACCGCAGGAGCCCTGGGCAAAATCGCCCTGTGCCCAGCAATCCCACTGGAGATGTTTCTCCAGATGCCTGTGGCTGGGCAGGAGCATGTCCCTCCACTAAGCCCTGCATGTGCCCGCTCCCAGGTCTCCCTCATAGCTTCCTTTGGTGCATTGGGAGGATTTTGCTGCCAGTCTCTCTCCCGCTCATTAGAAAGCAATGGCCACGCTCAGCACCTGCATCACTGAATGCAGAGACTGATGCATTCAAGCTCACTTTGGCAGCACTGAGCCGGACCAGGGAACCCAGAACTTGAGGAATCAGGATGTGGGAGCCAGCTCCCTGCCCTCTATGGGGGAAAGAAAAATGCCGAAGCACAGCGAACCGGCCGGGGAGACAGTGTCTGAACAGCAACGTGCCTTTCGTTCAGGAGGCGATGCCGCACCCCGGGTCAGCGCGGCTGCCTGCCGGCTGCAGGTGTTCAGATGGAAAGCTAGGCACTCACTTTTCAGCCGAGCAAACCGGGGTGTGCGTGTCTTGGATGGAGGCTGCTGCCTGATTTATTACAGACTCAGCTCTAGGTGCCTCAGGAGAGTAAGTCCTGGCAGAGGATGAGAGGCGAGCGTGTGTATGGATGGATTGCAGCGCACAAAATGCTGCATTGTAGTAAGACTGCCTGGAACGCGCCAAAGCTGGGAGCGGGGAGGATGAATGAGTCCTCCAGCCTGGTTTGCATTCCTCTGCCCTCCCCACTCCTTCCTCCAGCTGGTGAACGGGGCGGGCGGGCAGCCCTGGGCTCTCGGTCTGTCTTGGGAAGCCACGAGGCAGACGAGCGCTGGCTGGGAGCGTTGCTGGCCTGGCAGAGCACGCGGAGGGTGCTGGCAGTGCCGGGGGACCCGCTCCGCTGTGAGCATCCCCCAGAAGGCTGATTTTGGCAAAAAGTGGTTTTCCATACAGTGACAGCTTACCTTATTGACCTCAGGTTGCTCTTTCAAAAGTCTCCATTTAGCTGGAAATTAGGTGCTTAAAATGTCACCGGACTGTCATGAGTCACTGTCCAGGCCACTTTCATACGACAGAGCCAGTTCTCCCATGTGTCACTGGAAAGTCCGCGCTTGAGCCTGGCGTGATGTGATTTTAAAAACACCTTCACGAGAAGCTGCTGTGTTCCCTTCCCCCCTCCAGCTGCTTTCCTGGCCGTGCTGTAGCCCCGGCCCCTGGTAGCCAGCCCACCTCTCCTGCGGATGGTCGGGCGGCCCCCTCCTGTCCCCTGCGGGCGCCGGGTCTCTTTGCGGTCAGGGACTGTTCGGGACTGGCCGCAGCGGTGTGTCAGCAGTATCTGAAGGGGTCATCGATTTGCGGAGTGTGACGATGTCCTGGGCTGGTGGATCACGCCCAGCTGCTAACAGGGCACCCCTCTGCTAATGGGGTTTCATCAGGGGCTCGCTGACTGTGCTTTTAGGGCTGATTTGGGCACCAAATCTGTGATGGGAATGGGATCCTGACCCCACCTGGTGCTCATCAGCAGCCTGTCTTCGTGATAACTGGGGCTGAACCAGAACCGTTGACAGGGGATGGACATACAGCCACGGGGACTGACAGCCCATCCCTGCGAGCTCCTCGCTGCTTAGTGCGTTGTGTCTGCGCAGTCGCTCTGTAAGGCACAGCGGGGTGCCTGACCCTGATTTACAGACGGAAGCTGAAACGCAGGGACTTCCCAGGCTTTCCCCTGTGCCCGCTCCTGCTGCTGACCTGCAAGATACCCCATCCACAACCGATGTCTTGGGTGCGAACAGGGAATGGGACGCAGCCTTGGCATCCGGGCTGCCACCAGAGGAGAAAATAGCCCTGCGAAAGGACTGCTGTATTCGAATGCTCATCTTCTTTTCCCCAGCCAGGCCTGGCGGGTGAACCGCAGGTCCCGGGGGCAGCGGGAAGCGATCTCGCTCCGGGACCACCGGAGGTGGCTGGCCTTCCCGCGGGGCGTCTGCTGCCCTGCTGAATCGGGGCCCATCACCCGCATCGCCCCGGCTCC